TAAGTTTCGCAACACAGGTCCAATTAAACATTTGCGAATATTATATTAGTGCAAGGACTTGAGTAAGAAATTCGGTTAATGCCGGCATTTTATTTCTTTTCATCTCGAAGGACGTTGCACTAATTTGGGTCTCTCGATCAATTGACATCAACTTTATACAAAAAAAAAAAAAAATGCAATGTGGCACAAATCTATTTTAACAATCATAATAATAACAACTCGTCATAATTGAATATAGGTTTGATGTTTAGATTGAAAAAAAAATTTGATCAATTGTAGTCGTTGTAATTTCCAATAATATTGCAGCATTATACAATTCGGAAGACCAATTATTGCAAGCTGCGAAACGTGAACTGCAGTGGTATACTGGTGTACCGCCTATACACACCTCTATAGAGTTGGCAGTTATGAATTTAAATGCAATAGACCCAAATCAAATATAATTCAGAAAAATAAATAAGCACTTGAAATACTCAACAGCAGATGTTTATTTTATCATTTTTACAGTACCTACCTACAACAGAAAGTATATCGTTCAACTCAGTCGGTGGCCCGGCGCGTCGATATTATTATAATCTATGCATCTTTAGCAACATCATCTCGATGTATGACGTATTGTTTTGATTGTAGAATTTACATTTAAATCAAAACGTTTATTACCACGTTATTAATCTGGGCCGTCCGCACTCCACACACGTGCACCAACCTTTTCCGAATGTGACGAGTGACGACAAGCGTATTGTCATCGACTTGATAACAAAAATCGAGTCAAAAATTAAATGCATCACAGTAGGCAATGCGAAATGTAGCGGGTACCCGTGAACATAATATTTTAACTGCGGTTGGACTTAACGATCCTTCGAGAAAACGCGAAATCATCTGACACTGCGCGTCGCTCTGAGTAATGAGAATAATATTTTGCGCCGCGATATGGTTGATGTAAATACATTTTATGCAGCCACTGCCACAAGTTTGCCACTCTCAACAGTGCCTTCAAAGCGCGTTTGCCGCAGTCGTGTGCGTAATAATATTATTATAGATATCGTTGACTGTTTTTCTTTAAGGTCGTTATAATATTATAATAATATAATATACGAGTGCCGTATCACTTTAGAAAACGACACGAAACCGTGACAATCGTCACGCAAGTGCGTAGTACTTATATGTTAAGTCGGAATTTTATTGTTTTATTAATGCGAACAAACCATCTCGTATCGTTATTGTTTTAATATATTATTATTATTATTATCGTATTCGCACCAGCGGTGCCGTCGGCGGGCGATATAATAATAATAATAATAATAATATTATAACCATGTTTCGCTGCGGCAGCCGGCTGGCCGCCGTTTCCGAGCACCTTTTGATTTATTTATATGCTAATGAGACCGGGAGAAAGTCTCGTGGTTTTTTTTTTTGTTTTGCTTTAAATATATTCTCGAGACAAATCCGCCATGTGCGGGTAAATGGTTTTAATGAGACGTAAAAAGGTATTATATTATAAGAAGTACTCTGGTCGTACGGGAAAACGACTTATACCTATATGTAAACACGACATGATTGCGGGATTTGCAGATGTATACTTGCGCTCAGAGATATTGTAGAAACGATAAGAATACGTCGAGCGATCGTCACGGCAAGCGAATCGTTTTGTTTATTTGTGATTTACCGTTTTTCCCCCTGTTATTACTTATTACGTGCCAATTTTACGATTTTTTTCGCCATCGGTAATACAAATATGTAACGTATAAAATATTATTGTGATAAAGACCCCTGACATTTGTTTGGTCCTTATAATATGCCCATCAGTGGCCGGTGCGCCAACATATTGAACCTTATCTATGCAGTTTCCATATCAATACAAGTGATCGATTTCGTTCGATTAACTATTAATGTAAATAATTGATTGCATAATATCATACTATTAAACAACAATATTATGTAAACAAAATACAAAAAATAATTATCGGGGCATATCTAGTGGCATTACTAATACGTTAGTATTCAGTGCTAAAGAATGATACGTGCTCATCACGGTACCACGTGCCCAGCACCCCAGCGTCAATAGAACATTCAATATATATAGATAAAAATGCACGAATTATGGACAGGACGATGCAACGTCTCCGAAGTGAGATGTCTAATATTATTATGACTATAATATGCACCGACCGTGCATTACCGACCACTGAGAGTCGTGGAGCTTATTCTTTCATAACTCTTATATTTTTATATTCACGACGAGTGGCACTATGACTATAAGGTGCCTGCCTATTTAATACTATACTATTATTTCATTAGGTGTACTTTACCTACCGCGCATGTTCAGTAGTTTTGGCATTTTTTTAAGATAATATACATTTGTAATATAATAATGTTATTGCGTCGACCTAGAAAAACGATGGTGTTTTTATGCTAGCGATCCTGGACCGCTACGATTGTTCGGGTATAATGCCGATACTAAAATATACGATACCCAAACAGAACACGTTTACGCGTCCACAGGTCCGTTATTATACCCGTTTAGGTATAGGACTTTTTAAGCCCGTAAACAGCTAATAAACGACATTTTAAAACTGAAATATTTTTGTGACTGCTGCCGCCGTTTGTCAGGCATGCCTAAACTCGTCCGCAGATTATAGTCTGGTCGCCAATAATATTATTTATCGTGCGTTTAAGTTATATTTTATATATTATATGTGTGTTTCATTGAATTAATATTATGATTTTGAATTCCAAAAACGATGTTCAGAAGATCTGCGGTACCTAAATAACATAAAATAACCTGTACTTATTTTAATATTATATTACACAGGGCTATTCAAAATCATTTATCTGGTTTTAAATAATTATACTATAAAGTGATAATTATAAATACATAAAATAAAATAATAATATTTGAAATTAAGTTTATGGTACTTAAAGATGTTTTGTTTCACTTCTCTTCTTAAGACAAACAACATCTTATAAATAGCCAAAATTTATCCCATTCTATTTGCTTCGGCGTATCCGTTGTAATTGATTCCGTTAAGTTTTTTGGTTCTCTCGAGATAATGGTAATAGTGGTACGTGCTACGTACACAGTATCAAATCATATCCCCAAAAGAAGTAGGTCACATGGTGTAAGATTAAGTGACCTATAGGAGGCCATGTGCCAGGCAACAGATATACCATTTTGAGTAATCCTGTATACGTGAGTTTTCGACTAAATTTATATTATGCCTTATTAAAATACTTCACTATTTGGGATCCAATTACACGAAGTTCTGTGGTTTTTATTTTATTATTCGACATGATTTAAATCAAACTTGTACATATAGTTTCAAATAAGTCCTTTTTTTAGTTTTTCCAATTTAATGTGTCATTCTTACAAATTGTTTTAAAACAATTAATTTTTAACTAAAATACTTCAAAAATGTGTACCTACAGAGAATTTCTCTTATATTAAATTTAAGTGCATCGAAAATGATTTAACTTTATCGCGAACCATGTTTAATAAAATATTACAATCTAATAATAAGTCAGAACTTACTTAACTAAAATGTCCTTAAAAACCCTAACCTTACGTACCGATAATTATCATTTATGATATTATAAATAACATTAATGTTCTCACCTTTAAGTATGATCATAAATCAATTCCTCCAATCATTAAAGCTATCAACACAAATTTGGTTTTATTGATCGCAATTATGCTATGTTGTACGTTTTTTAAGGAAATAACACGTCATGTGGGTGGGTCATGTCTTATTAAAATAAAATTATTGAGTTATGCTCAAAACATATTATAATGTAATATTTACGTAGGTAATATCAATATATATATATATATATATATTTGTTGCAAAAGACTTTGTAACACTCTGTATAATCCGTGTAACAAAATAGTATTGTAAGTTGTAATTTATTAGATATAAAACTAATTTATCAATAGATTATGATGTGTCGGTATGCGTTCGTTTAACTCTCAAATATTTTAATGATTTCGTGCAATCTGCTTATACATTCCGAACATAATAATATGTTGCACTAAAATATGTCTTATGTTTGACATACCTAATATATTATATTATACATCACCATTTAAATATTTAAGGGCCCTCGAAGTACGTAGGGTCATCGGAGCCTCGTATTACGTAGGCAGGTGCCTTTATACGTATGTACTATAATTATTTATAATAACGGAGAATCTTTGGGCCGAAATTTCGATCGGAAGTGCGCCAGTGCCGCATCGGCCTGCCTTGGTGCGCTCGGTCAACGTACATAATTCACCCAATTCCGTTTGCTATACGCCTATACGATATTATAATAACGTCAATCAGACCGTGTTATTATTATTAATATTTTATGCTTCTCCGGTATATATAATGGTAATATTTGTAGGTAAGTACCTAGGTAATAAACTAATAACAATATAGTATAATATCGCGCTTATTACGTGCCCGCTCGGTCAGAAATCCCATAACGCACGTACGACTGCTCACCACCTTTACATTAGCTGTATGACGTATACCTACCTGATTTCTTAATTACTTGAAACCTGTTTCGTGATTTTCTCACCACTTTTTATAACCGTATATTACTATAGTAGTGTTATATATATTTTTTTAATTCTCGGAACAGCGTGTATTATTAGTATTTACTATTCTTGTGCAGTGTATAGGCACACACTGCAAGATGTTGAGTGACGATGATTGGCCAAACGATACAGGGGACGCATCATCGTGACTCCGGGTACCAGCTGTAGCAGAACACGCTATTAAAAAACATAATAATAATATTATAGCCGATATAAACGAGCGTTTGGATTGTAGGTCATTTTCGTCAGGTCCGGATTCCTCACATAAAGTGCAATAAACTTCATTTCTGTTATTCGATATTTCACTGTATAATATTATATATACCTGGTCAAAGAGAGAAAGAGACAAATAATTTTCTAACACGAGACGTACCTATAATATGTTGCGCGACCGTACATTTATTTATTTATTTTATTCTTTCAGACGCGGTTTAATGGATATCGACGCGCATAATTCAGACGACCCAAGTCGGTGCACGATGTACCAAGTACGTAAATCGATAATAATATTATACACGTTCTAGTCCAATTATCGTCAAAAAAAATATTAAAAAATAATGATGTGTAAGAAAATTCGCAAAACCGTCGATTGCCTGCGGGTTCGTGGTAATAAATCTATAAGAATATGTGATATAGTCGCGGCTTTTATTTATCCGAACGGAAAAAGAGTTTGTCACGACAAACCTCGTGTACATTATAAGTTTATAACATTAAGCTGTGCATCTAAAAATAATAATGCTTATAATAATATAATATACTGCCGCATCGACATGTAAATTAGCTTCAAAAAGCAATTAGTATAATACATAATAAATATTTTTTTTAAATCACCCGAAGCGTCGTCGAGCGTTTTCTCCGTGAAAATCCGCACAAGAATTTAAAATGCAGAGGGCATAGCGGTGTATTTATTAATTTTTTTATACAGCCGTCTGATTCTTATGTTCTGATACGTACACTATACCCCTACACCTAAATACAATAATATTATTAATAATGCTATGCGGATTTCTATTATATGTTAATTTTGGTACTATCTATGGACATACATTGTGTTTATGCTTGCGGTGCCCGGCCGTTGTACCACTTGATACGTATGACCGGTTTTCGGCTGAGCAAAATATTATGTTTGTTGCCGAAACGAATAATGTTTTAATATTATGATAATAATATGGTTGAAGTGGCCCGTATGGATATTACAATTAAATGTGACACGCCATGGTGTATTTGTTATTACTTATTAGATTTCAAAACTGTTGTTCCTATAGCTAGTAGCTACTTGAATCTGGCCGGTTCTATAACGTAGAATACTGTTGGTACAAGCACGATGTAAGAACCCAATTTTGTTTTTGTTTTATAACCAATTGGATTAACTCCAAGAATCATCCGAAACGTTAAAAACCTCTCCGGGCATAGAAATGACAAGTTTATTATTTAAATACGCAGACGGCTTATTATCATAACGATTAAGGTCGTAAATTTACCATCTTAGGTCTCGTAATAGATATTCGTATTCATTTATACTAAAATTAAATTTTCGAAGAAAAAAACAAATTATAAATACTACTCGTAACGGTTTCTTAATTACTATTTAGGTTTGTGATGAGAGAATATACTGAATAAGCGCAGCTAATTATTTCCTGCGTGAAACTATATGCATGGTTGAAAAAGATGACTGATGTTTTCGTAAATTCTTCTCATTTTGTAACAACACTTTATATAGGTATACCTGCCTAATACGTGCATAATTACAACTTTTAAAACGCTTTCCAATTGATGAGATTTATTGAAATCGATTGAGTACAAACGTTCCTTTTGAATAAGTAATATGTATTTTTGAGTACACAAATTATAATATTTCTATTAGCTTATTCGAATTATGATTTAAGGTTTGGGATGCTTAAATAGCTAATTTACATCATTGATAATAATATAATTATTGTACTTTGATGAAAATTTAAAATGCGATTTAATAAAATAGTCTATTAACAAGTACGTCTCAAGATACTCGGGATGCTTAAATAGCTAATTTACATCATTGATAATAATATAATTATTGTACTTTGATGAAAATTTAAAATGCGATTTAATAAAATAGTCTATTAACAAGTGCGTCTATAAAATATTTTATTTGTTTTAAAATTCAAATATATTCCTAAAACAAGGACAAACAATTTATTAGTAAAATATCACTTAGATTACAACGGTTCATTTTATTACAAATCCATACAAAATACATCTGTATAATTTTATAATGCAAATACTTATACAATTATTAACGTACAAGTTGTACAACTTCAATTAGGTTTCAAAAATGTTTAATACAAACGTGATAATATTAATTAGGTTGTATAGTGATATTCAAACAAAAACCGAAAATAATTGTATAATAATTTAAGAATGCAATCAAAACTATGTCAAATTCTAAAATGAAAATCATTATTTGAACGTAGATTTAGGAGTTTGAAACAAACAATATAATATAAATTATTTACAAAAACTCGCCACTCAGCCACAATATTTATGAGTTTGACGAATTAAACATTATTGAAGGCTAACAGAGAAGTAGGTACAATAATAGTGCACGATGAAAATTGTTAGTTTTTTCTTTCATTGAAACTGTTGATTGTTAATACTAGAACTAGACATGAGGCCAAATGAATAACGAGCGAATTTCGTGAGTACTGAGGACAATGTCAGCGGCTTCTTGTTAAAAAAAATAATGATAATAGAAATGTACCTACCACTAGAAATTAGGTCACGTTTGTGGTTGTGTATATTGTATCCGCCTGCGCCAAAGGAGTTAAACCAGTGAATTAATCATCGATGGGCAACAAAGTGTTAACTGATTAAGTTTAAATTTATTTTTCAATAAGCTAATGGTCCATTCTATTTCGGTACTAGAATCTCAAGGGTTTTGGCAGGCGTGTTGTATAGGCAATTCCGGTACACGAAGGAGTGTACACATCCCGGACACCGATTATTTGAAGTCCCTAAACGCGGCACTATGATAATAATTCGAATAAAATGTAATAACAAAATATGATTTGAATGTTTTGATGATCTTGGTAACTGACTGCCAAAGAATTTGAATTCTTCAACTGGTTATAATATTATAATCCATAATAATTATATCCAACATATACATCAATGTATCGTAATTTCATACTAGATGTAGAAAACTAAATCGTATACATCGATTTAGTGTTATAAATATTGTTTTGAAACATTGCCCACTAGATTTGTTTCTGTATTTAATCCTCGTTCTGATTAAATGAAGTGTTGAGTACCTACTTATACAACATGTTAAATAGCAAAAACCGGGGCGTTAAAATGCGATCCTGTTTCATAAATAACAAAATCGATGGAATAACCGTTGGATATTTTATTTTATAATGGATCATAAACCGGATAGATCGACACCTAAGATAAATTTGGTATTTGTTGTCGTAGTCGCGTTCATAGTTGGCTTGGTGTTCCAAATGTGTGTTTACTAACTACCGAACGCGTTGTCTATCTAAAAAAAAAACAGTAAATCATTTCGAACCACTAGTTATATAGCGATTCTGAAGCTCTACTACGACAAGCGCTATAAACATAATATATTATATTTATATGCGAACACGAGTAGGAAAAAAATACGTTCGTCCCAAGATGCCTTAACCTCAATCTATTAATGACGAATTTACGCCGGTCATTTCGTATTGGGCCGACATATATTATATTCTCGGCACAATGAACGCAATTTATTATTTATTTTCTCTCGTTTATTAGTTTTGCCGCCCAACAAAACTAGAGTTCAATATTTCTTTTTAGATTAAATCATTATAACTATTTTTTTACCGGTGCCAATTTGCTATAAAGACATAAAGACACAATACCTAGTATATACATATTACACATAACACATACATGGCGAACTGCGATAATAATGACTTGTTTACCACTCTGTAAGTGCGACGGCGGCGGAAGGAGGACGCGACAGTCACATTGTGTGTAAAACGATATAGGATGAATTACAATAAAATTATTTTCACCCACTGATTGTCAAATCGACAATGGGACCCATATATTATACAATATATACCTAGAATACTGTACACAATATGATACTTATTGTATTATATTATTATATTATGAGGAAATGATTATTTTTGTTCGCGTATAATCATGTTCTTAAATGTCTGGTATTTTTGTAAAAAAAAAAATATATTGAAATTAACATGTGAAAACAACATTATACCACAATATTATTATAATTATTGTAATATGCATAACCTAACGTGTTAGTTATATTGAAGTCATTAAGGAAGTAAACGTTTACGAGATCTTTTATCAAACAATACGTGTTACGTGCGTGTGTACATATTTTATACGCGTGTGATACGATTCCTGAAGAATAATTTAATTGCAACTGCACAAAAGAATACATACACGAGAAAACAATCGAAATTGACGAAATTATAAGGCTAATTATACGACGATGATAATTCAAATATTGTATAATATATACAGGATCATCAAAGATAAACATGATAAATAATATTATTCTGCTTCATAGATGATCGAAGCTGCATGTATATAATATGAAAATCGTGATCGTGTCATTATTGTTAAACGGAGCATATTTGATTTGTTCTCGAAAAACGTACCAGCTAGGTGGTACCTAATATTTTAACGTGTACCGTGGTGTCACGTCTCCTTCATGCACAAACTGTCGTGCTAGAGGTGCTTCCGATATTCGTATTACCGCAAAAGAGTTCATCGCACATGTAGTGATAATAAAAAGAATGTGAGTGGTAATCGCACAGCTACCAAGTACCAACATATCTGCAAGAACGATTTATGTGGTAAACTATAGACCAGTTCCATTTCAAACGCCTATTTAGCTGCAGGATCGTCCGATAGAGTTTTGGATGCCAATCGGCGGTGAGGTTGGCGTTATTATGATCATCATCAATATCGATATTGGTAATTTGAGTTGGAATGTTTTTATAAACAACGATCAATGGTTCAGCAGTTCCGTCGGCGGTTGAGAGATTATTCAGCCTGACTGCGAAGTGCCATGTTGGTGGCGCTTTGACGCTATCGTACCATCATCGGGCAAATGGATTGGAAAGCTTGAACGGAATGCACCAAATAATATACCTACATAGGAACCACGTCTTACAAATAATGAATTGTCGTTTTATATTCTATTATGCTATTAATTATTATCGTAATACGGCGTTGTACAGTGATATATTATATATTACATACATGTATATTATGTTAGCAACAACGTTCAAATCGGAGGCAATCATTAATTAATAATATATATTCGCATAACACAAAATGTTTGATCGACGACAACAGTTTCGAATATCTGTCGGGTATACCCATACATACCGAGCACTGTAATAATATCATTACGTTATTATTTTTCTACGATTGAATTCGTGGCACAACAATTGCGCCCACCGGTATCCGCGCTATAATAATATTATAATGG